TGTAAGTTTTTGCCATAAAAGTCCTATTAGAAGGCCACCCTTAATAGAAGGCCACCCTGAAAAGTCCGATGTGAATTTCCATAATAGAAGGCCATGGCCTTTTATTCTGGGGGGGAGTTTATCACATGTTTCTTGTCGTCGAGGTATGATAGCTAAATCGACACAAGACATAGCTAAGACAGAAAGGAGACTAGCGGTTTCAAAACATGTTGCAAGCGGATCGACACGCAGATACAATTGAGTTAGTTACTGTTTTTAGGTCCTAGATATTCTAGTCTAAGGAATGCTATTCATACAAATTTCATACTGGTCTAAGGAACCTTATTGCCATTCAAACATTTTGACATATCGAGTTTTGCCATTTTGAATACGACTGTTAAGGTCGCTTTTGTGAAAAATAATTATTAATAAATTTTGAAGTAGATACCGAGAAAATAAGAGGAAAAGGTCGACTTCGATCGAAAAAAGTTTACAGAAAGGCGACAAAATCCTGAATTAGTTTTAAAAACCCGATATTCAAAATTGAATTCTTTTCATCTTCAAGGAAAGTAACACCGTCTCTTGCCTATCCACAGCCATGACAGATATGTCAATATGGGAAAATGAAGGAGGATTGTTAGATTTGAAACTTCTCGGTTTCCATTTTCGGATTATTTTCCAGGTGGCATTTTTGTGACTTCTTGAATTATCGGATTTTGCATTTATGACAAATGAGTGAACTTGAAATGTGAATGGATTTAGAATTTCCAAGTGTAACTAAGTCAGTTTTTTCCTTCTGAGAGGACCTTTTGCACTAGTGATGGAACCAGAATAGTAGAGACTTGCTGGTACCATTGGGACTTTAATTCTATTTTCTTTGATCTATATCCGATAAGAGAATGGGTGTGAGTGTGGGTGGATACGGTATAGTATTCATCAGCCATCCACACCCACACCCAGACACATTTCGGCCGCTCCGAAACCATTGAAATGTCGGTTACTCGAAGAGAGGAGACCTATTAGAAAGATCATTTCGATTACTCGATATAATTCTGATCAGTTGGAGACCATTGAACTATCAAGTGGTCAGAAATATTGTTCCATCGTGTTTTCATTTTCGACTCCTTGGACACTTTTCGACAACTCGAAGTCTACCGAAATTTCGACTACCCGAAGACAGAAAGCCCGTCGGAAAGAAATTTCCGATTACTCAATAAGATTACGATTAGTCGAAGCTAATCGAAATATCGAGTGCTTGGCAGAACACACCCATCGAAAAGTATAATTTCGATTGTTCGCTTTGACTTTAATTGCTAAAATTGTCTCAGGAATTCAGTTTTTAAATGACTTTTTACTCTTATTGCATGATTTTCTTCGAGAATTTTTGTTATCTACATGTAATTTTATATAGTTTTATCATTTAAATAATATTATTTATCGTCTACAGAGTGTTCAAAAAGTCCGTGAGAAAAGTAAACTGTTATAACTCCTATATTTGTCAAAAGCAATCAGTTAATTTTATCTTATACAATAGGCGTCATCGCCAAGTTTTTATCGATACAGATGAATTTCGCAAATAATGTTGAAAGATATCACTTTTGACTTAAGTACAGAAAATGCGTTATAGCGAGCTTCACTGAAAAAACGAGGCTTCGTTAATTTTTTGGATCGTCCCAGTTTTTTTTCATTATTCTGAGTCTTCAATTTTTCAGTGTCGTTTCAAAGTTATTTTCTTTATACATTGTCATAAAAAGAGGTCTAATATTCAAATTCGCTGACATATTACAAAAACATTTTAATAAAACAGCACTAAAAAATGAAAACTCAGAATAACGCAACAACCCGAACGGTCCAAAAATAGATGAAACCTGTTTTTTTTCAGTGAAATTCTCAATAACACATTTTCTGTATTTTAGTCAAAAGTGATATCTTTCAACATTATTTACAAAGTTTTTCTGCATCGATAGAAACTTGGCGGTGATCCCAACTATATGAGATAAAGTTAACTGATTACTTTTGACAACTATAGGAGTTATAACAATTTACTTTTCTCACGGACTCTTGAAACACCCTGTATCTATTTTTTGTTTCTTCCTTTCCATTTCGCGTTATTGAAGCATTTCTTTTGAGAAAGAACGATTTTCGTTTGGATTGAAATGTATGTGCAAGACTAGTGAATTATACATATGTATTTATTTGTTGTGGAACTCACGTATACTTTCGAAGAAAATAGTGAGTGTAAGTTTTAAGGTCAAGGTTTCGCGGCTCCCGACCCCTCCTCCCCCCACCCCATTACAGACCTCAGCAACCGCGCGCAAAAAGCTTCAGATTTATTTAACAATAAAAAAGCTACTTGAGTAGTATAAAGAATATGAGCTTGACTGCGGTACAATATTTCAATGCTTTCATGATTATTTGAAAAAAAACTTTTTTTGTGTTTACAAATGATGCATTAGGATAGCAAGTTTGAAGGAAATGCGTGAGTTCCACATTTCAGCTCCAAAAGAACTGCGCTAACAAGCTTTTTTTCTTCTTTTCCATTTCTGCTTGATATGCATGACTTTATGTAGGGTGAAGCATTTCTCCATAAACTGGAACAAGTTTCCTTTTGACTGGTTCAACCGTTCACTGCTGTTTCTTTCTCAGTCTTTTATAGTTTTAATTTTTTTTTACTGCTGTTTGTAAATGATGTCAATAACAGAGGAAGAAAGGAAGTTTCTAAAAAGCTGAATTTTGCTGATGATGTCGAGAAAATGTCGTAAAGAATAAAAAATGCTGTTGTTATTTTCGAATAGCCGTTTACATAAATAAACAAGCACAGAATTTTACACATAAAAACTGTATTTAAGTTAAGGAGAACACTTTTAAGGATTTAAAAACATTCTAAATACCTATAGGACCTAGTCTCACTTCTTATCAATTATCGAAATTTCTTTCAGAAATACAGTTAGACAAAAGAAACAAAAACAGAATTTAACAGGAAGACACAAGCATTTTACCTCAGCCATCTCTCACATCAACGTTGTATTCCTTAAGAATAGTTTGCTCACTGCTCCTACATGACCGAAACGCCACCCAATATGGACTCAACATCATCAAATAACAGCAAGAAAGTCTTCTGGTTTTGGCAGTCAAATTCCAATACGTGGAATAAAAATGAACGGGAGGAGTGGCAACGATATTCAGATTTTGAAAATGCGTTCATCGAAAATGCATTCCAACGACACGAGAGAGAAGTTCAACTTAATGATTATGTGATCAATTTCCAATACTCAATAGCGTTCAAGAAAGGTGACAGAAATAAGCAGAGACCAGTTAAACGTGAAGAAGTTGATCTTCGTTACTATGTAAGAAAAGAACGCTTTGCATATCCAGAAAGAGCATTAAAATCATTCGATAGCAAGTACGAGCAAGAACACAACTTTTGCTGGCAGTGGAGGAAGAAAAATGAACATATAGCATCGTCAGGTCGGTATAACTATCCGGCCATTGCTGAACTAGCTGCTCGAGGTAAGTCTAATTATAAGTTGTTTACTCTTGTCAAATGTGATTTTATTTTATTATACTGCTTAGGAATTCTAGAAGAAGGCAAACTTCTAAATCAAGAATTTGATGCACAAAGAATGGCCGAGAAGTTGACAAATGCCAAAAGTGAAGAAGAAATTTGTAGATGTGCTATACGTCTATACTCCGCGGAGTCTTTTCTTTACAAGTTAGTCAATTCATCATTGAGAAATCACGATATGTCGAAGGTTGACACACTTGGACCTTTTTGTCATTTGCTTTGGCGCTATCTCTATTCAAACAGTAATTCCCGTGACCAAGTTCTCTATCGTGCCTTAACTCTCACAGAAGAAATGGTTGACGAGTACAAACAAGCTTTGGGCACAGAAATTAGTTGGCCAGCATTCACTTCAACATCGAAAGATCCACAAGTGGCTGAGTGTTATAATGGTAATACACTTTTTGTTATTTCAATGGAAGAGACTAAGAAGGAGAGAAGTGACATTTCTTCCATTTCACATTATCCAGATGAACAAGAAGTACTATTGCCACAACATTCCAGCTTTGAAATTGAAAAAGTAGAGCACAATGTGGAAAGTGGAACATATTTAATTGATTTGAAAGCACTTCCTTGAACGATTTGACGACGAGTTAAGAGTGACGGTGAGCCAATCGACAAAACGGACTTACTTATCTCTCGAAGAAACGACAAGATTAATCTGCTAGTCCCAACTCTTGTTTTTCAGCAAACGATCGTATGTGAAAATTATTTTAAAACTGAAGTAGTGTGCTTGTAAATAAAATAAATGCAGAGTTAATTTCGCCAACACATGAGTGTAGCTACCATTACGTTAACATTTCACCTGTACAGCCAGGGTCACCAGATGGTTGCGTTCCAATTCTCAAGCGAAAATTAAAATAGAGTTAATCCTAAACTGTTGCCACAAATGGCAATGTTAGAAATGAGGGCGTGGATATGGGTGTGTGTGGATGTTGCTGTTGGTGTGCGTGAGCGTGTGGGGGTGTAGGTGTTAGTGTGCGTGAGCACGTGAACGTGGGGTGAAGGTGTATTAGCCCCATAAACACCCTCACCACTACCTCCACGCCCACATACCACCCATATA